AAAAGTACCATGTATACTTTTAGTGTTCCTCGCGTTTCGATTCCATTCCCAACACGACAGTAAGGAATGAAAACAAGCAGTTCACCTGCACTTTTGTGAAGAGAGAATACACACACATATGCTTAGAACGCCTATATTATCATCCCAAAATACCATTGTAAATATAATCTTTAAAGAAAGAATAGGGTAATTAGAAATGCACTTTAGAAACTACGATGTGAAACCGAAGATAATAATCGAATTAAATCTTTTAGAAGAAATTATGTTTTCTGTTTGATGCGTAGCTGCGTAGGTGGATGGTGAATTGGATTGAACTGTATTTAGAAATATCACAACAATATAAATAGGGTATGGCGGTTTGTAAAGGAATCAAACATCGACCATTCAGCGGTCGATATTGTGAGTAAATATAAAACGAAATTTTTATATTCACTGTTCAGATTTTTAATCTCCGAATGAACGAGCTTCTAAATGCGATTGCTCTTGAGCATCGGCTCGACGACAGAAATCGGATATCGAGGATCTTTTCTGTCCGGAAAACACAAATCACAACAATTTATGGTTTGATAATTCAGTGCTCGTTCTAGTCAAACCAACCAGAACAAGTGAATGATCACTGAAGTTGTTGTGGGTCGAAGATATATTTGGGTTTATTGCGCGTTAAATGGCACGAGGGAATAACTTCACAACTGTTTGAGGTGTCAGAGGAGTCTGTTTTTGCCACCATATTGTCAGAACAGTCTCAACACCAACTCTGGCATATGCAGTGTAGCTCTGGTAGTGGCGCTCTGATGAAGGAACAAGAGGTATAATCCAGATAGTTTTCAGTGATAAATATGTAGCCCTGGAGGACTTTCACTGGAACTGCTGCATGGGTTGGTATATCCGTTTTGGTACATGTGGCATGAGTGAGTGTGTTTTTACGCCGCTTTTAGCAATATTCTAGAAACATCGCGGCGGGGGACACCAGAAATGGGCTTCACACCTAGGCCACCCCACCGCCCACCATGTGGTATAACTCATACAGATGTTCATAAGGTAAGACGCTGGCAGCAGTACTCTGAACATTACCATGGTAGTGGTTCATGAGGTAATATACCGGTGGTTGCTCATAAGATGTAACTATGGTAGCGGTAGTGGTCCAAGAGATATTAATTTGGTAATGGTCCAAGATATATTACTCTGGTAGTGGTTCAAGAGATATTACTCTGGTAGTGGTCCAAGAGATATTGCTCTGTTAGTGGTCCAAGAGATATTACTTTGGTAGTGGTCCAAGAGATATTACTTTGGTAGTGGTTCATGAGGTAATATACCGGCGGTTGCTCATAAGACGTAACTACGGTAGCGGTAGTGGTCCAAGAGATATTACTCTGATAGTGGTCCAAGAGATATTACTTTGATAGTGGTCCAAGATATATTATTCTGGTAGTGGTCCAAGAGATATTGCTCTGGTAGTGGTCCAAGAGATATTACTTTGGTAGTCGTCCAAGATATATTACTCTGGTAGTGGTCCAAGAGATATTACTCTGGTAGTGGTCCAAGAGATATTGCTCTGGAAGTGGTCCAAGAGATATTACTTTGGTAGTGGTCCAAGATATATTACTCTGGTAGTGGTCCAAGAGATATTACTCTGGTAGTGGTCCAAGAGATATTAATTTGGTAGTGGTCCAAGATATATTACTCTGGTAGTGGTCCAAGAGATATTACTCTGGTAGTGGTCCAAGAGATATTACTCTGGTAGTGGTCCAAGAGATATTACTTTGGTAGTGGTTCACGAGGTAATATACCGGTGGTTGCTCATAAGATGTAACTATGGTAACGTAATGGTCCAAGAGATATTACTCTGGTAGTGGTCCAAGAGATATTACTTTGGTAGTGGTCCAAGATATATTACTCTGGTAGTGGTCCAAGAGATATTGCTCTGGTAGTGGTCCAAGAGATATTACTTTGGTAGTGGTCCAAGAGATATTACTCTGGTAGTGGTCCAAGAGATATTACTTTGGTAGTGGTCCAAGAGATATTACTTTGGTAGTGGTCCAAGAGATATTACTCTGGTAGTGGTCCAAGAGATATTACTCTGGTAGTGGTCCAAGAGATATTACTTTGGTAGTGGTCCAAGATATATTACTCTGGTAGTGGTCCAAGAGATATTACTCTGGTAGTGGTCCAAGATATATTACTCTGGTAGGGGTCCAAGATTTCTTTGGTAGTGGTTCATGAGGTAATATACCGGTGGTTGCTCATAAGATGTAACTATGGTAGCGGTAGTGGTCCAAGAGATATCACTTTGGTAGTGGTCCAAGAGATATTACTTTGGTAGTGGTCCAAGATATATTACTCTGGTAGTGGTCCAAGAGATATTGCTCTGGTAGTGGTCCAAGAGATATTGCTCTGGTAGTGGTCCAAGAGATATTACTTTGGTAGTGGTCCAAGAGATATTACTTTGGTAGTGGTTCACGAGGTAATATACCGGTGGTTGCTCATAAGATGTAACTATGGTAACGTAGTGGTCCAAGAGATATTACTCTGGTAGTGGTCCAAGAGATATTACTTTGGTAGTGGTCCAAGATATATTACTCTGGTAGTGGTCCAAGAGATGTCACTCTCGTAGTGGTCCAAGAGATATTACTTTGGTAGTGGTTCATGAGGTAATATACCGGTGGTTGCTCATAAGATGTAACTATGGTAGCGGTAGTGGTCCAAGAGATATTACTCTGGTAGTGGTCCAAGAGATATTTATTTGGTAGTGGTCCAAGATATATTACTCTGGTAGTGGTCCAAGAGATATTGCTCTGGTAGTGGTCCAAGAGATATTACTTTGGTAGTGGTCCTACAAATATTACTTTTGTAGTGGTCCAAGAAATATTACTCTGGTAGTGGTCCAAGAGATATTACTCTGGTAGTGGTCCAAGATATATTACTCTGGTAGTGGTCCAAGAGATATTACTCTGGTAGTGGTCCAAGAGATATTACTTTGGTAGTGGTCCAAGAGATATTACTTTGGTAGTGGTCCAAGAGATATTACTCTGGTAGTGGTCCAAGAGATATTACTCTGGTAGTGGTCCAAGAGATATTACTTTGGTAGTGGTCCAAGATATATTACTCTGGTAGTGGTCCAAGAGATATTACTCTGGTAGTGGTCCAAGATATATTACTCTGGTAGGGGTCCAAGATTTCTTTGGTAGTGGTTCATGAGGTAATATACCGGTGGTTGCTCATAAGATGTAACTATGGTAGCGGTAGTGGTCCAAGAGATATCACTTTGGTAGTGGTCCAAGAGATATTACTTTGGTAGTGGTCCAAGATATATTACTCTGGTAGTGGTCCAAGAGATATTGCTCTGGTAGTGGTCCAAGAGATATTGCTCTGGTAGTGGTCCAAGAGATATTACTTTGGTAGTGGTCCAAGAGATATTACTTTGGTAGTGGTTCACGAGGTAATATACCGGTGGTTGCTCATAAGATGTAACTATGGTAACGTAGTGGTCCAAGAGATATTACTCTGGTAGTGGTCCAAGAGATATTACTTTGGTAGTGGTCCAAGATATATTACTCTGGTAGTGGTCCAAGAGATGTCACTCTCGTAGTGGTCCAAGAGATATTACTTTGGTAGTGGTTCATGAGGTAATATACCGGTGGTTGCTCATAAGATGTAACTATGGTAGCGGTAGTGGTCCAAGAGATATTACTCTGGTAGTGGTCCAAGAGATATTTATTTGGTAGTGGTCCAAGATATATTACTCTGGTAGTGGTCCAAGAGATATTGCTCTGGTAGTGGTCCAAGAGATATTACTTTGGTAGTGGTCCTACAAATATTACTTTGGTAGTGGTCCAAGAAATATTACTCTGGTAGTGGTCCAAGAGATATTACTCTGGTAGTGGTCCAAGATATATTACTCTGGTAGTGGTCCAAGAGATATTACTCTGGTAGTGGTCCAAGAGATATTACTTTGGTAGTGGTCCAAGAGATATTACTTTGGTAGTGGTCCAAGAGATATTACTCTGGTAGTGGTCCAAGAGATATTACTTTGGTAGTGGTCCAAGAGATATTGCTCTGGTAGTGGTCCAAGAGATATTACTCTGGTAGTGATCCAGGAGATATTGCTCTAGTAGTGGTCCAATAGATATTACTCTGGTAGTGGTCCAAGAGATATTACTCTGGTAGTGGTTCAAGAGATATAACTCTGGTAGTGATCCAACAAATAATGCTTTTGTAGTGGTTTAAGAGGTATTTCTCTGGTAGTGGTCCAACAAATATTACTTTTGTAGTGGTTCAAGAGATATTACTCTGGTAGTGGTCCAAGAGATATTACTCTGGTAGTAGTCCATGAGGTACTACTCTGGTAGAGGTCAATGACGTATTACTCCGCTAGTGGTCCTTGAGAAATTACTCTGGTTGTGGTTCATGAGGTATTACTCTCAACTGATAGTGACCCGTGAGGCAATACCCTGGCAATGAGGTCTTATTCTGGTAGTGGTTCATCACACATAAATCCGGAAACGGTCCATGCTGTAGTCTTTGAGGTGGGTCACAGGTATTTGCGCACGGGGAAGTGCTCTGGTAGTGGCTCATGGAATATAACTTCGGTAGTGCCATGGGATATGATATATCGGGTAGGTATGAATTTAGTAGTGGTCCATGTGATCTTACTCTAGTAGTGGTCCTTTTCTAGCCAATGAGACAAAAGTTTGGTAGTTGCGATTGAAGCACAAATTCTATTGCCAACGAGGCACATCAATAATATAATTTCAGTTCGACGGAGTAATTATATATTTAGTCAACATCATTCCAAACCTTACGTAGACCCAGGGCCTCGTTGAACACTGTGAAGAAAGAAGAGTAGTTGCCATGCGTGCGTTCAACCCTTCCTCTGATATCACTTTCAACAAGAACTTATATAAGGCAGGTTTCAACAGCCAGTTTCACAGCAGTCTAGATAACAAGGGGAGAAAGTGACGTAAATGGTAACCAGGTTGGTATCAAGAATCATCCATCCTAACTGTACTTCGTCGCCTGAGTTGTGGACACGAACCCACGACTTGTGCATTCCTGTCAGCAGGTGACATAACTCTCAACTAGGACGTATGTTGGCATTTGGAACGCTCTGATGTAGGGACACCCAAACAAACCTTGGTAATTGTGAACGATGCTCAAACCAGAGGTTCTACAAGCCGAACTCACGTTATGACAACGAGAGACGTTTAGCTTTAAACTGTGTTCCCCGAGTTCGATTACTCCAGCGTCTACTAGTGTGGACTTCATCACTTTCTATCAGCGTTTACCCTCCAATAAACAGCCATCTTGATGTTCGAATTGAGAGGTGTTAATGAAATAAAAAGTCGACGTTTTCATGAGCTTCGTAGGAAAGGAAATTAGAAAGTGACTCTAAGCGTGTTAGGAAGGAGAAAGTCGAATTGCTCCACCATATTTGGTGCTAAATTGCAAACCAATACATTTTATAGCCAAGCTTGTGTCTCAAGTGACTTTTCAGAAAATTTGACAGGCGCTTTTTATATGCATCGTCATGCTTCCTGCTACACCCCCGCGTTTATTTTGTGCGGGATTAGTCCTAGCAGATGAGCACCGGTTAAAAAATGCCAGTCTAATATCCAACGAACTCGGCCTCGTTTGAACGTGGAACAACGTGAAACACCGTTTTCCATGTATTTCTGACGAACGCATTTGTGTATGTTTACTATTTTTTGACAAGGCAATACCTAATTGAATATATAATGTGACCAAAATGTACGACCATCTGTGGAAACATACATTATTGTACACATTAATAAGGTTAATGTTATGAGCAGATGTCTCCAAACTATGCATTGACGTACGGGAATAATGAAACACTTGGACAGTAATTAACTTTAGAAAGGTGTTGATATCAAAACAACAAATCAACCACGCATGGAAAATATGTTCTTAAAACATATTGAAATCTTAAAATGTTGTAAATCACAACAACTTGCACGTACATGATCCAAAGCTATTGCACGGGTTGCGGTTCACTCACATTGAAGTAGCACGGGATACTGACTTTGGAGACGTCTGGCGTTCCTATGTTACTGGGAGTGTGTAAAACTGAACTTAACAGGGCCTTTATCATTTATTGATTTCGTTGTAAGTAAATACTGAGGGCAGTCATTTGTACACAGCAGACATTTGATGAGACGATCAAGAATTCCCCATCGGATCACGAACAACTGAGATCGAATCCCAACATGGTCCGACAGGGTTAGAATGAATGAGACGTAAACTTTCAAGTTATGTACTATGCATTTCCGTGCTTTTAAAGAATTGAACAATTGACCTTCTTACAGTAAAACCCTGTCAGTCTGGACATTGTTAATGTGGACACTAAAGGAATTTAATTCATTCACATGAGTTATTAACCAAAACATTTGAAAGTACGACCACTTTCACAGGAGATTCTAACATGGCGGTTTTTCAGGTGACCAACTGACTCTTTGCATGTGTTGACATCAGTGGCCCAGGATGCATTCACCTATGGTGAACACCAGGCATCATCACTATCTGAAAGTATTCTGAACACATACTTATGATTTAGTGGCTACAATTAGACAGTAATGATACAATGAACTCAGGTTTTAGAAATAATATCTCAAGATTAACGAAGTGCTTTCTGTCACTTGCATTTTTGTTGAAGCCTTGTATATAACACAGAAGCACTATTGAAAAGAGGATTAGAAATAAGAAGGATTTGCTTGTACTGAGTCCGCTATTTATCAAAACCACTGAAATATATCCCTGCTCCAGTTCTTTGTTCCACAGTGTGCCTTACATTTCTTTGACATACAGTGTAACTATTGTCTGAATATATTGTTACATTGTTGAAGCCAGAGGATATTGGAATAGGTATCTGACTTACCGACTCACTGGATCACTAACTCATCTGAAACCAGACTATTCAACCACCGCTGGCCATATCGTCACTGTTCAGTTATTGATTGAATGATATACAAACCCAATACTTGTGCTTGAAAACTGTCTACAGAGCCGTGAAGATATGGGTCAGCAACCCACGCTTGTCGTACGAGGCGACTAACGGGATCTGGTGGTCAGGCTCGCGGACTTGCTTGACACGTGTCATCGGTTCCCAATTACGCAGATCACTGGATTGTCTGGTCCAGACTCGATTATTTACAGAAGACGGTCATATAGCTAGAATACTGCAGAAAGCAGCGTTAAACAACAAACAAATAAACACTCTACAGTTCAACACTGGTTCTGGTTGCTTAAAGACAAACTATATATCAATTAACACTCGTTAAATAGCAGTACTTTAGATGTGTGATGTTTAGATGTTTACCAAGAGACCAACAACCATTATCAAGGTGAGTTCCATTCGCACAATTATAGGTTTCTGGCACTACTTAAAACAACATAATACATCCCCTTAATCATAAATAACCTCAATTTAACCTCATTTTGCAACATAGAGAGACAGAGAGATAGAGACAGAGTTTATTTCCAGTAAAAGGCCGTAGGCCCAAAATACATTCAAAAGGAAATTCCAGTGTAGTCAGGGGCACAATGATCATTCAAGTGTGTTTATAATAATCCTTTTAACATAAAATAGATACAAGGCAACATATTTTACAGTGTCTACATTAGTATTCTTGAAAAGATTTGCTAAAGAATATACAATAAAAGGCTTTTTTAACACATTTTGTAATAAACCTATCTCTTAGTTGTGAATAGGATTCACAAATGAACAGTACACGAAATTCATCTTCAATATAGGTAAGACCTTTAGATTTACATGATGTACAAAATCTTTGATTATAATCGGTGTTCTTATAACGCCGAGTTTCTACAGCTATTTTAAGATTACTACACCTAAATTGTGCTTAAACAGCTCTTAAATGTGTTGAAAGGTTAAACGATAAATAACATTTAACATTTAACGCTGATTTAAAATACTGATAATAGTTGCATTTGGAGGAATTTCTCAGGGAAGAGTACCAGGACTGTTTTAAGTTATCTGATAATCTTTGTTTTAATAAGCTTATAAACATCTTTATATCACCAACATCTTGGCTCAACCAAACATATCCAAAACCAATATTAAAAAGAAGACTTTTTACTTTTGATGCCCATGTTGTTCTACCACTATCATCTAATGACTTAAGCATAAGGTAGCTTTGAAAAGGTAATCTGTCATGAGGAAGTTGTAACAATCTACACCAATTTGATTACACGGGTCATATAATTAAACTGGAGGGGTATTCTGCCACATTCACCCAGGGCCATGGAATTACAAGATGACCTATATATTTTAAGATACCTTTTACAAAAATCAAGCTGTACCGATTCAATACTTTTACAATAAGAAGTTCCCCATATTTCTGAGCCATAGCATAATATTGGTGTGATCAGTGCATCAAACATTTTGAATAAATCTGTACAGTTAATATTTTCGAATTTCTTTTGAAAGTGATTATCTGATAAAATTGCCTTTCTAGCCTAAGATGCTAAACATAATTGTGCCCTGGACCAAACAACTTTTGGTGTAAATATAATGTCAAGATAGTTATAAAAAGATACTGTTTCTATTTGTTCCCCATTAAAATACCACTATTCATAAGATCTAAAAGGCCCTCCATTTCTGAAAACAACCACTTTTGTTTTCTTAAGGTTTACTTTCATTCCTGTTTCGTTGCAAAATAATTCAAGGGCATTTATCTTTTTCTGCAATTGAATACAAGTGTCTGAAAGAGCCAAAACATCATCAGCAAACATAAGGGCATACACATTATTGAAAACAGCAGTGATAAATATTCCCTTACCACCTTCATTTTGCATAATTGTGCATAAATAATTAATCAAGATTATAAATATCTGAGGGCTTAAAATGCATCCCTGACGGGTGCCAACATTACAAGAAAATTGTTTAGAAAGTCCTTCAGGGGTTCTAACACAGGCACAAAATGAATTATATATACATGTGATAAAATCTAAGAGCTTCCCATCTAATCCAACCTTATGAAGAGAATCTATAAGTATATCATGTTTAAGAGTATCGAAAGCTTTTATTTTTTTTTTCTGCCCTGTTTTTTAATGATTTTTTTTGTATGACAGCCTGAAGTGTAAAATTGTGGCCTATTGTAGAATAGTTTTCCCTGAAGCCAGCCTGATATTCACAAATGATATTATTTAAATCGCACCAGATTTTTATCTTATATTTAGAATTGATGTAAATAATTTACAAAGGGAATCAATGAGGGATATACCATGGTAATTACCGGAGTCGTTCTTGTCGCCAAATTTTAACAAAGGGCAAATAATGCTCTTACCCCAACTTGAAGGGAAACAGCCAGAGTCATAAATTTTGTTAAAAAGAACAGTGAGAGTAGGGACAATGAAACTTCTTGACTCCTTTAGAAATTCATTAGCAGTTCCGTCTGGACCAGCGGCTTTACTGTTTGGCAAAGAGAGAATAGTTGAAGATATTTCTTGTTCGGGAAATGGTTGGTTAAAAAATGAATCAGTGTTGCTTGTAGATTGTAAAGGTGAAGGTAAATGTTCTGGTGTGTTTTGAGGAGTATTAATGCATAACAGATTTGAGAAGTGATCTGTCCACTTTTAGCATGAGATATTGGATGAAAGTTGTGGTGAAGATCTGCAATTTTTAAGTGTTTTCCAAAATAATTTAGGGTATGTGCTTGCTGCTACTAGTTTATCTTTCTGTTTATTTTGGAAATGTAATCTTTTTTGCTTGAATGTACATTTGAAGAGTGTTCGTAGCTGTCTGAAGATAGTAAAGTCTGCACTGTGATCTCTATGGGCTCTGAGTGCTGCATATTTGTCATGCTTTAAGTTTTTTAAGTCCTGATCCCACCAAGGTGGTTGTGTTCTCGTTTGTGAAGGAAATGAACCATTATATATGTTTGTGTGTGTGATCAGCTGCTTTCTGAAAAAGAGTTACTAAATGTGCAAGGGCTCGGTCGATATTGTTATGGATGAGGCCATTTAAATGAGTGTATTGATTATTAAACAGTGACCTGAAGTTTGTAATGAATGCACTGTTTTCATCCTTGTAACACATGTATTTTGTCCATTTATCCTGTTTACCCTCTTGTGCATTACTGTTAGAGGTAAGCATGTTAGAATGAGCAGTGGAGGGGAGCTTACTGTTATGTGTGTTGATATTGAGTGTACATGACAGTGGAAAGTGACATGAGTTATCTAGTGTTCCGACGTTAAACCGCGTGATGAAAGGAAATAATGACGAAGAAGCTAGCATGTAGTCAACTACACTGCAACCGTTATAAGTAAAGCATGTAAACTGACCACATAAATCATTTGCTAATCTACCATTTAAGGCATGAATGCCAAAAGTGCAACATAATTCAGCAGGTTTTTTTCCATAATTATTATAAACTTGATGATTTAGAAGATCGAGGCATATCAAATGTATGCAAATGGAAATGCGGCTTTTAAATGACTTCGCTCGTTTTAAGTTTTGTGAGTAGCTTCCTGAAATGTATTTTGTCGAAAAGGGTGAGTAAAATTTCCTACAATTGTGGCTTATAATACGGTTATAACTTTTGTTTCCAACGAGGGTAGACAGGTTGTTAGATACAAAACACAATCGTATCGTATCAAGATCGTCTACTATCCCGTGTAGGAAGGATGACCTCGTTTACTAGTTTTGAGCACGCTCATGGAATGTCACACTGTGTCGTATTTTCATTCATAAACAATGACAATTCCTTTCCGAGAATAAACTTTTTTTTAACCCCCAAATGCTCGTCACATGCATGAAATTCGCATTACACTACGCCATTGAGAAACACCAATCTTTCAACATCAAGCGATTTATTCAGCAACCGTGATCAGAAGGCTATGGAATACTGTAAGGAACATTCTCGCGTTCTAGCGATCTGGCGATCTCGCGTTTTAGACGCTGTCGTTGCGCATGCGTAATATCATAAGGTCATACACATAGATCCAGGTTCCTCTGAACGTGACTTACGTGATCACTGTCACGGCTTCCGGTTTAATTTTCAGTGAAAGCCGACGAGAGCGGTGGGATAACATGGTGGTTAAAGCAGAAATTCGACCTTGCACAGAAGAGGTGAAAACAATTCCACTTAAGTCTGCATGGGTAGCGTATCTGTGGCAGCTTCAAACGAAGGGCAATATAACAAGAGTTATTGTCTACATAGATGGTTTCACGCTAGATATTATTGTTCTTATTTGGGATGTTTGGGGGGTAAGAAAATCAGATGCTAGACAGACTTCCTCGGCATCTCTATATATCGTTGGCGTTAATGTTTCAGCATCTGCAGTTCGCCCAGTCATTAACAAATAC